GTTTAGGCTGCTTATCTTTCATGTTTCTGTCAATAAATCGGCTAGGATAACACTTTTCTGAGAGTGTGGCTTTTAAGAAATCAACTTCTGAGTCAATGCAATCAGAACTACAAATTTTTCTCATCCTAAAGCTGAGAGGGAATGAATAAGGTTTCCTTTTCCTGGAAATAGGCACTCAACTGTAAAAATATTAGTTAGTTGTCCATTCCATGTACATTTCCGGTGGACAGATCTTTTGAGAGATCCGTCATTACGCCTACTAAGGCACACATCAAGAAACGGAATACTTAGTTCAGATTCCTTTTCTATGGTGAATTGTAAAAAAGGAAGGCAGTTGTTGAAAGCAAAAAAAAGACATCATCAAGAATTACGTTATTTTTGTATCGATTTGATTTTGCCATGTAGATAACTTTGAAAGATGAATCACGTGGGACTAAATAACCAAACTCTAACAGGTGATCACAAATAGATGATTTCGCAGTTCTTCGTTCACCTTTCATTAACCAAACCGGATAGTGTTCAGCTACACGTTTATATATTGGACGTTATAAGCGTAATCTCTGAAAACGTGTAGCTGAACACTATCCGGTTTGGTTAATGAAAGGTGAACGAAGAACTGCGAAATCATCTATTTGTGATCACCTGTTAGAGTCTGGTCATTTAGCCCCACGTGATTCATCTTTCAAAGTTATCTACATGGCGAAATCGAATCGATCCAAAAGTTTACGTTCTCTTCATTTATGCATAGCCGAATCTTTAGCTATATATGAACAGAAACCTAAATTACGTTATTATGGCAGATGACATTTTGGAGTAGTAATTTCTTATATAAATATCACAGATTTATTGATATCGAATAACTCACTCACTTATTCGGTTATGTTTAAGATGACAATCGAGTTTGTCTTATATCTGGGATAGAAAATAGAAAAAAAGAAAGAAAATAACTTTGTGATATTTAACTAGTAACTGAGTTATTCTCATCAACCTCATCAACAACATATACATGTGGTGCATTTGGTGAACTCAGGCGACGTAGCTCTACCAGAGCTGTCTTTCGAGATAATCTATAAAGTGAAGCAAAGTGGTACAAAGGGCGTCAGGTTTCGGAATCTGTGTATGGTGGAGGCGCTGTCAATCTGTCCATACAACCCTGAACTCCGTATACAGAAAACGTTTGTCCAGTCTCTTATTCTACCTTGGTCATAACCTCTTCACTAATCGTTCCCTGTAAAAAAAAATTTGGTTTTTTCTTTCCTTTTTTAATTTCCAGTTTTACTTTTAGTTTACTTTTGCTTCAATAATTAATTCACTATTGTCAATCTCATATGCTCCTTCTGTATATTTCACACCTTCACACTTGTTAAAAGTTGGTACTCAACTACCATCTTTATTCTCACTCAATAGCAATTTCAACCTTATCAAACTTCTATCTTTGTGCCAGTGAGTACCACGCAATTTACAACTTTTAATTTTCACTTCTATAGCCGCTTATGAATAATTATATCAATTATGTCACCCCTTTTATTCAATAATAGACTACCTAGTGTGGGAAATTTGTGAATAGAGAGGGTTCTGAGAGTCGGACTATATATATATATATATATATATAAAACACGCAAACAAGATTAATAAAGCAAGATTTAATGAATCCATCAAATTTCGGTAGAACTCGTCAGCTGAATACTCTACATACACGGATATATATACTTTTGAAATTACATTGGGAGGTATAAGACTGATAAGTCATGCAGAAATGCAGGTGTGAATGTTTTCCAGGTCATGTTCAAATAGATAAGGGGAGAGGGAGTATGTGAGAGATCAAAATTAAGACAAATTGCATTATGCTTCAATTGCATCACTTAGATAAAGAATTAGACATTAGAAAATACAACAGGAATTGCAGACAGAGTAATATCAATAGTAAGAGTTATAATAACAATAATAATAATAATAGTGTTAAAGTGAGTTAAGATAATGCTACTGATAAAGAATAGTTTTAAATGAATCAAGAATAATAATAAGAGGTAGAATAATAAGTAAAACGTGTTACCATGGTAGATTCAGAGTCACGACCATCTCCTTTTGTATACAAAGACCTGGTTTATAAACTCGAATTGCACAAGCCTCCCCCGCAATTGCAAGCATCTTCTTGTTCCTTTGTTTGCTGACAATAGTGAATGACTTGACAGCATCGATATCATGTCCGTAGTCCACACGATCTTTTGTTATTGAGGATTTTGACACTTTGCACTCAGCTGTTTTCAACCATTTCGGCAAATGCTCCATCATGCGAGTAGACAATCGCCTTTCCGTACGACCTATGTATTTGCTGCCACAAACACACTCAAATTGATATATGCAGTTTGAAGTGTCGAGGATTGGCGACTGGTCTTTCCCAGATTGTTGAAGCACTCGCTTGGTGGTGTTAAGGATAACAAGTTTTGCAGCATAATAAGTTCTCTTGATGGCTTTTTCGAGTCTTCGTTTCACTACTTCCTGTATGTCATCTCCTTCGAACGGCAAATTGATATAGACAGGTTTCTTTGGAACTGTTTGAGTTGTTTTGCAGGGGGTAGTTTCGTTAGAGTATTTATTAATGAACTTCTCAAGATATCCATACTTAGATAAAATATCCTTCAGAGATTTTATTTCATGTTCAATAGTACTGTCAGAATAAATTTTTCGTCCTCTATTGAACAGTTTTCTGACTAAGTTCTTTTTGTACTGGATTGGAACAAAGCTTTTGAAATGCATGTACTGTCCTATCAGTACAGTACAGCTGAAAACCATTGAAAACTACGGAGTACTGGACAGCAAGCTGTTTCTTCCCAGTTTGGGAATCATCCGCAGTAGGCACCCACTGCTACGGTTCGAACCCAGGATCTTCCTGTTACAAGCAGGCAAGCTCGTACACCATTCGGCGACTGAGACCCGATCCACTGTGCGTTCGAACCCCAGTGGGTGCGTACTGCTGTTGATTCCCAAACTAGGATGAAACAGCTAGCTGTCCAGTACTCCCTGGTTTTCAATGGTTCTCTAACTGATATCAATCAGTGACTAGCAATGGAATCCAGGATGCACATTTCGTACTATTTCGGACTCGTCACCCAGTGGATGCACCTGCATTTCTCAGTGAATGATGATGTGTCCCACCGAGGCTCGAACCCAGTGACCAAAGCGTTATCCACAAGACCACTCATCGAAGCAATCTGCACAAGAAGCCGACAGACATGTCAACCTGAGACCAAGGAGCACTTCGGTCCAATCCTCAATCGATGGGAAAATCTAAAATTCAATTAAATTCAATCAACGTTTGTTTGACAACAATCACCACAAAAGGGAGGAATCTGAAAGAAACAACCTCCTTCACTTAACTACCCACCTACCTGGGAATCATCCTTTCAACTACAGGCGGACGGAACTGAAGAGGATATCATCAAAGCAGCAAGGATCGGTAAAGCAAAGTAAGACAAGCTTTCATTACTCTCAAGTCTGTGTGCAGGAGGTCAACAGCCCCACTCAGCTCTCAGCATAAAAATGAAAATAACATCCGGATTTTCAACTCCAATGTGAGGTCAGTCAGTGCTACTTACTATACGTACGGATCAGAGACTTGACCAGCACATCATAAACAGCACCTCAAACAAACTACAGACCTTCATCAACAGCTAGCTGTCTTCTCTCAATACTTCGCTCAAGATCAGATGGCCGGCCAGGTGGTCAGAAGAGATCAGCAACAGGGAGGGATCTCTGGAGATGAGTGAACCAACTCAGTAGGAACCGATTGTGCAACAAATAAGCAGGAGGAAATGGAGATGGATTGGCCATGCTATAAGGAAACACGCCAGACCATCACTCGAGTGGAACCCGACTGAATGAACAGCGTCGAGTTGGTCGTCAGTCTGTGGATGGGGTGACATGGAGAAGGTTATGTGAAGAGGAGATGGAAGCATGTGGGCAGATTTTGAGAGGGGTGAAAACGTTGGCAGAGGACCCAAAGCATTGTAGACGTTTGACTGAAGCCCTATGTTCCTCTAGGAATTAGAGGCTGTTTAGCTGACATTTCAGAGTAGTAATTTCTTATATAAATATCACAAATTTATTGATATCGAATAACTCACTCACTTATTCGATTATGTTTAAGATGACAATCGAGTTTGTCTTATATCTGGAATAAAAACTAGAAAAAAAAGAAAGAAAATAACTTTGTGATATTTAACTAATAACTGAGTTATTCTCATCAACCTATACATGTGGTGTACTTTGTGAATAGACAGCAGAATAATTTCTTATAATTAATACTTTTTACTAATGTCAAAATTATGCCAGTGTACATGTTCTGTAAAGGAATACTCAGCATAATAACTCTTGTCTATATGTATACGATAATATTAACTCTATTCTAACCTTTAAATGATTAACATTTCTGATTAATTTAATTTATTACTTCTAATTAGATTTCTGTATAAGTGAATCTTTTTGTTTGTTTATTTTCTTTTTTCTTTTTTTGTGTGTTTGTATGTGTGTATGTGTGTGGCTTTTGCTATTTGTTTTCTTCTTTTCACATTGACCTACCTATACACCATTGGAATTTCTGACCTGATTCATTATTTTTTATATTTTTAATTAAATATGTGATCAACAAATCATCATGCTTAATTTTATGCTTATTTTTAATGCATAAATATACATACATGATTAAATTGTATGAAGTTAACTTACCTATCCATCTATCTATCTACCTACAAGCAATTCATTTCACTATGTCTACCAATTAACTTTGAGTTGAGTAGAGATGATTGACTGTACACAATACAAGGTGCATTGTTGCATGATACATACCTGCACACATACATACATGCATACTCATGTACACATATAATGACATGCAATTCTGTGAAATACACACACTTTACACATACATACACAGTGTGGTTATTCATAATATAAAAAATCAATAAATATTACAGTCAATGCTAGTAGTAGTAATTTCTGTCTCATCATCAGTTAGTTAGTTAGTCAGTTATACGGTGAAGCATTTAAATTACCTGACCGACGCGTAAAGATAACTGTATATATATGTAAACAAATATTATTATTTAATCATTATTGTCGTTTATTTTCATAACCTTACTTTTGTTTTCTTTCTTTTTTTTTGTCGTCATTTCTACAATCGCACATTTTAAAACAATACAGACAAGGAATATATTATTACTAACACTTTCATTATTATTATTATTATTACTATTATTATAATATTGTAATTAACAACCTACAGTCAATCAGTCAGTCAATCATGGATTATATTGAACAATTCTCTAAAATCGATAAAAATCGAGATGGAATCATTACAAGACGGGACTTATTTAAATATGCTTTAAGTATTGGTGAAGATATGTCTATGGTAGATGTAAGTTTTATGATTTTGAGCATTATTATTATTATTTTTATTGGTATTATTGTTCCCTTCGGTTCCTTCCTAGTGGAACATAGGGCTTCACTTGCTACTGTCTTCTGCTGTACTGTTTACCTGCATCCATGTTACTCCATACTGTTTCAACTCCTCTTCACACGATCTCCTCCATGTCACTCCATACTCGCACTGACGTCCCACTCGCCGCTTCCTATTCTGTCGGGTTCCACTCGACCGATGGCCTGACGCGCGCGCGATGTCATTCAGCGCTACGCCTCCTCAGCGAGTGTCCATCTCCATCTGTCTTCACTTTCTCCTGAATATTTGTTGGTTGGCGATTGCTTCTTCTTTTCTTTGTTTCTTCCCATAGTTTCTTGTTGGTAATTGTTTCCGGCCCGGCCATCTGATCTTCATTCAGTATAGAGCGAAGACAGTTGTTCTTGATAAAGTTCTGGTTTACAATAGCCTGTTGGAGGAAATATTCTTTGTCACCCGCCCGCCAAGTATCTCATCCGTTCCGTATAGAAAAACTGACTGACTTGACGTGTTTGTATTGAAAATCTGACTGAATTTTGTTGTTGATGCTGCTGAGTGACGAAGATTTCCAGATTAGATTGGTTTCAGGTTGATGAATGTGTGTGTGTTTCTCGCCCCCCCCCCTCCTGATTCTCGCTCTATTTGACATCCTCGTCCGTTCCTCCTGTGGTTGAGATACGGAGTGTACCGAACTGTTTATTTCATTTGAAGAATTTATTAAGAGGTACTTGGTTTACTATGTGTAAATGAGTTACAGAAAAGCGACGAGTAAAAAATTTTGATCCATTTATTAGTTTCTTCATCAGAAACTCAAGTTTCGAAGTCGTGTGATTATAATTGATGGAATTACTATGGACAGCGATAAATGTTGATCGAAACCTTGTCATGCAGTAAATAATACAATTCATCAATGTGTGATATATCTAATAAACAAACTAATATGCGATTAAAAGTCAATCTGAACGAAGAATATTCTTTTCAATAATTTCTCCTCCTCAGGTTCTCACATTTATAAAATATAACGCATTTGTTGTCGTTACCATAATGATAGCCAGTTATGCGGCGGATACATATTTTAACGTAGAATAACAGATTAGTAGTTATGGGGTGTCAAAATAAATAGTCGTATTTATATGACAAACGTGCTAGTTGGCTGAAAACGATTACAAAATATTGTAAAATGGGAGACAATGGTGGTGGTGATTAGTCGTCATAATAGATTCGTAGAATGTGGTGTAGAAAAACTAACAAGTCAGTTCAAGGTTGTAAAAGGTGTCAGGTGAGTGAGTGGCTAGTACAAAGTGGTATGTACTAAAGAGGAGGTAGTAATACTCTAATGAGAGGTTCATAATGAAATAAGGAATGTGTGAAATGAAACTGGTCGACGTCAGCACAGCTTTCAGGGTTATATACCGAACTCCGAAGTCGTTATCACTTGCAGTTCGCTTACGTCTCCTACACATAGCTGAAGTTGTTGCAATGAGATCGACTAAACCGGAACTTTGTATCCACAAAGAACACGTTCAGACGCTGTTCCTACCGTGACCAAACTTGGATTGATGATTATTCTTCTCACCAAGAGTGCTTCATCCTCTTAACCCCCCGGATTTTTCTTTCTTTGCTTAATAATATTATTATTATTCGTCATAATGTATACATTCTCTCAATACTATCGAATTTTCCATTTATACTATCCGGACATATTATTATTAGTGCTTTTATCTCTTTTCTCAATATATGCCTCTGCCTGTTTCATTTCACACCTTCCTTATTTCATTATGAACCTCTCATTAGAGTATTACTACCTCCTCTTTAGTACATACCACTTTGTACTAGCCACTCACTCACCTGACACCTTTTACAACCTTGAACTGACTTGTTAGTTTTTCTACACCACATTCTACGAATCTATTATGACGACTAATCACCACCACCATTGTCTCCCATTTTACAATATTTTGTAATCGTTTTCAGCCAACTAGCACGTTTGTCATATAAATACGACTATTTATTTTGACACCCCATAACTACTAATCTGTTATTCTACGTTAAAATATGTATCCGCCGCATAACTGGCTATCATTATGGTAACGACAACAAATGCGTTATATTTTATAAATGTGAGAACCTGAGGAGGAGAAATTATTGAAAAGAATATTCTTCGCTAAGATTGATTTTTAATTCATGATATGGGAATACTTCACACTATTGAATGCCACAGTGCTCAAGTTGCACACATATATTAATTTCATCCTTTTGACAAATATAAAGAAGGTATTACGAAGACAAATATCTCACTGCGAAATGATATCTTCATTTCGTAGTTTTCCTACGATCTCTTTACAACTAGTATGGTTCACAATATTAACAATAGAATAAAATGCATGACAGTAATGTTAAACAAAAGTACATGCATACTGACAACCAATCATATTTTAATAGTTCAAGAAGTCCATGTTTTAGACAAAAGGCTGAAGTCTGTTGTTTTCTATACGTATATAGTGGTTTAGAATGCATGTGATTAACCCCAAAAGTGCTTCCACCACTTTTAATAACCTTGAAATATGGTCACAAAGGAAGCATACGGTTTCTGTCACTGGAACGTTGGAGAATAGAGACACGACATCCAGGGAGAAGCTATCAAGACACAACCTCCATGACACATTCGACTTTGTTGATTCAATCAAGAATGTCAATGTGGCAGAAAAGAAAATGGTCTCCCGGGATGTCGTGTCTCTCTTTACCAACGTTCCATTGACAGAAACCGTATGTTTCCTTTGTGACTACATTCAATCCAATGGCATCGACGTCGGTATACCGATCCATTACCTGAAAGAACCTTGAAATAATTGAGAAATAACAGTCATTAATACTGATTTTATTTATCAGCACGCATAAATAAATACTTTGGAGTGGATGCGTCACTGCAACTACAGGTGCACTTGTAGATACAGTGTGTAGTAGAGTCCAGAGAATCTTATCCTTTCATCATCGACACAAGAATTAATAATGCTTCAGATGATTCAGCGAAGAATATTTTCTTCATCGACGAAATCATCTTCAGAGGCTGCCGTACAGTCCTATTTATATTTGCCAAAAATGTTTAGTAGTCTCCATCCATCTCCACTTTCTCCTGAATATTTGTTGGTTGGCGATTGCTTCTTCTTTTTCTTTGTTTCTTCCCATAGTTTCCCATAGTTGGTGATCATTTCCGGCCCGGCCATCTGACCTTCAGTATATATCCAGAGAAGACAGTTAGTTGTTGATAAAGGTCTGGTTTACAATAGCCTGTTGGAGGAAATATTCTTTGTCACCCGCCCGCCAAGTTTCTCATCCGTTCCGTATAGAAAAACTGACTGACTTGACGTTGTTTGTATTGAAAATCCAACTGAATTTTGTTGTTGATGCTGGCTGAGTGACGAAGATTTCCAGATTAGATTGGTTCCAGGTTGATGAATGTGTGTGTCTCTCTCCCGCCTTTTCGATTCTCGCTCGATTTGACATCCTCGTCCTTTCGGACTGCCTGTAGTTGAGATAATTCTCAATGCTAGATATGTGAGTGAATGAAGTAACCTCTTTCAAATCCCTCCCGTTGATGGTGATTAGTGTCGGATGTTGCTGCTGTTTTTGTTGTTGTTGTTGGTTTGTTGGTTACTTTCATAACATCCGTCTTGTCCATGTTCACCTGGAGTCCTGTCTTCGCCGGCTGATTCTTCGACCAGTTTGTCCGTTGGTTTTCGCTTGTAAGTCTTCGATTTTGTGACAGTGACATCAAACATGATTCATCCACGCACAAAATCCGGGTCTTCTGGGTGCTTCACGTCGGTCGGTCCAGGATATCCCTGTCTGCTCGTTTCCCACTGCACTGTCTGACGCATAATCCAGTCAGTCCACTACAATTAGGAATATCATTGGTGATCGATAATAAGCACCCTCGTCTGACTCTTGTGTTTACTGCAAACTCCTCGCTGAGTTTTTCGCTGTGGATGACTTGACACGTGCCGCCGTTGTCGTACAAGTAGTTGTTGAATAAGGTTGATGAATATTTGGGTGCTGCACGCCGTAGTACTCGAGTAGTTTTGAGATTACTTCGCGGTCAACGCTGTCTGTCGAAGGCCTTCTCGAATTCTATAAAGTTGAGGTAGAGACAGGTTTGATTGCCATTCCATGCTTTGTTCTGTGATGATGATACCTAGAGTTGCAATTCGGTCAGAACATGATTTGCCTTCTAAGCTTGAATAATAATATGGAATTTTTGATAGTTAAAAACTCCGTCAGTATGTAATTAGTAAGTAAGCGTAATGTTATTTTATTTACTCCTAGTTTTGTTTACAATTTTCTGTAGAGAAGCCAGTCGACATTCCTGTATGTCTTTGATTTGAATAAACTGAATAAGGTCACGTTTCATCTCAGTAGCAAAAACACGCCACTCTGATATATGTTGAATAAAGTTAGTTAGTTTTCTAGAAATACAAAATGTACGCAAAAGTATTAAAATTAGACACTACTAACATTGTAAAGAAGAGAAAGTACCGATAAGGCTCGAAGGTCACGCTAATTAGGACAAACGCAGTGTAGGTATACATAAATTTAGTATACCTTATCGTCTTTAAATAAATAAAAAAATAAATAAATTTATTTATTTTTATTTTCTGATTACAGCTTGATTCCACATTGTATTTTTGGTACAAGTATGGAATTTTCAGAATGGATATCGGTAGTCCGAATTTCGCAGGCCGACCATAGATATCAGGTGTGCGTCGACAGGAGATCGAACTTCGGACCATGTGCATGGTCAGCGAGAGTCCTAACCACTGTGCCACCGACGCACATAAAATAAAGGAAGGACCGTGAGGCCTCCCCACTAACGAAAACTAAACGCCCGAGCGCACCCGATAAGGGTCCGTCATGAGTTTCAACCCACCGAGGTGCAATGGTGAGCCTCAACCCGGGGTCAGAGC